GTGGATGGGGGAAAGTCTAGGGGGGCCTCAACCCTACACAAAGAACTATAGCAACTTAGGAAAGTGGAAGTGGAAGGAAGTTCTCTTCCCTAGGGAAGAGCACATTAATTGGTCATCCAGTGCCAAATGACCAGCCCTAAAAACACACACTATGTATTAGTAATAGTATATAGACTAAACAGGTTAATTTAGGAATATGTGAACGTATATGTATGTGTGTGTGTGTGTTTGTGTGTGTGTGTGTGCACAATAATAATTAGTGGATAAAAGAGGCCATTATTTAAAGGAAAGTCTGGATATATGGGAGAGTTTAGAGGGTGGAGAAATGTAATTATATGGTAATCTCAAAATAAATAAATAAATAAATAAATAAGGAAATGGGAGTTCTGTTTCACTTAGGAAAGATTGTGTCAAGGCAGAAACTATAGCAAAAGTTGGAACAAGTGGGAAGCCAAAACAAAATAAAATATGATATGATAAATCAAAACCCATCTTATCACAGTTGGGCAAGGCAAACCCACAGAAGAAAAAGAACCCACGAGAAAGCACAAGAAACAGAGACACGCTTATTCACATACTCAGGAATCCCATAAAAATCACTGAAATGAAAGTGATAAGAAATTCATGGAGGACCTGGTGCAGACCTGTGCAGGCCCCGTGCTTTCTTCTCCAGTCTCTGTGAGTTCATATGAGTTTTGCACAGTTGATTTAGAGGCCTTGTTCTCCCAGTGTCCCCCATCCCCTCTGACTCTTACCTTTTCTACAAGGTTCACTAAGCTTTGAGAGGAGGGATTTAATGGAGACATCCTGTTTAGAGCTGATTGTTCCACTCTCTCTCTCTCTTCCTCTCTCTCTCTCTCTCTCTCTCTCTCTCTCTCTCTCTCTCTCTCTCTCTCTGTCTCCCCTCTCTCTCCCTCCCTGAAGAGGTGACTGACCTGTTAAAGGCTAGGCTCACACCAACAACAAAAAAATCTTTTTACTATAAAGACTCGAAGAGTATTCTTTTATAAAACACATCCTGGCAATTGCTGAATTCTTGATTTAAACACACACACACACACAAAGTCTGGCAGAGAAATGATGCCCAGTACATGCTTTGTGAACTGTAAGAGGAAGCTTGTTACCTTCGCAGTCCCTTTCTAACAAGATCTGCAGTCTGAACTCCACCATATCATTTTTCTCCCATGTGCATGACAACTGAGGGCAGGTGTAGCTGAAAAGGCACACAGGTAAATAAAAATGACACCACATTCTGTAATATCTTCATCTCCATCTTAAACACACAGTGTTTGTTCAGTCTTGTCTGGAACAAAATCTTCCATCCAATGAGGGTACAAGCTGCAGAAGCAAGTAGGCAATAAAAGTCTGAGAGATGTTTAATGTCTAGGCTGGTTCCATAAAGGTCCACATCTATTTCCAGATCCCATTAAATTCTTCTTTGTTCTTACAGTTTTCATTTATTTCTCTCCCTTTGTCTGTCCACCCACTTTTGTCATTTTCTTTCCCAGCCTTTCCCCAGAACACTCCTTCTGAGGACACTAAAGCCCATTTAAAAAAAAAAAAAAACAACAGATTTTTCCTTTGTTGTGGAGAATATGTATGGTAGCCAGTGACTGGAGATAATTATATAGACACCTACAGACCGGCCATGACCTCCCTGATTTATAAGCATATAACATGGAGCCCTATAAGTTTTACAGAACTGTTTAAAAGGCATTTCAACCAGTGACTTTATACCAATTGTTAAGTTTCTTAACAAATGGCTTTGGGAATCATTCTCTTTTTTACCATGAGCTACTTTGGCGGTCTAGTGATAGGTCTGGGGAAAACTAGTGAGAACTTGGGAACATAACATCACTCTGGAAGCTTGGCTTTGCACCGCTGAAATTTGTCTTTTCATCAGCAACTTCTCTTTCTTTTCTCCCTTGGTAACATCCCCGAGACCACACAACAGCTTTGCCTTATTGTTTAAGCTTGTTCTTCATAATCAAAGCTGAAAGGCCTTCTAAGTAGGCACATCTGTACTCCCCCTGTAAGTACATAACAGAACAGCTGTGCCACACATGCTCACCAGTTGCTAAATGCAGAGTTCCATTCACTCTGTGCCACATTTTGAAGTTTGAGCATACCAGCCCTGTATTGAGTTCAGTTCTTAATGTACACATGTAAACATGCAGCAAATATAAATGTATTCCATGATTGGCCCTAATTTCTGTTTTGAACACCCATGTTAATGAATAGTAGACATTTACCCAGTTGAGTCTCATTGCATTCGGGGCTTCATCTAGCTAGTGTGATGATTTGTACATCCTGATTACAGAGGGCCCATGGTCTGTTTTGTCCTTAGTCACCAAGTGATGCTGGCCACCCAAGCTATCCATATTTTTCATTACAGGGTCATGCTCATGGGGTCACTTGAATAATTTATATGGCACTTTGTCTCTTGGTGCTACCCATGGCCAATTTGGCCTCACTCCCTTTCTATCCAACCATTCTTCTTTGGGACTGGCACACTTACTCAGAAATTCACCTCTAGAAAAGGCAAAAACATGTCTTAAATTTTGATACTCAAATGACAGGGTGATCAACTTTATTGGGCCAACTGTCACTTATACATTCCCAACACTAACCCTTTCATCTTCTTTCCTTCAATTTGTGGGTCTTCTCTAGGCTAATGTGGTAGTGGAAATGTTGATAGTGTGAAAGCAAAGATGATGGCCCTTAGTTAGCTTGTTATACTGGCCAACGCACAGTCCCTTTAAGACTCAGATGACAGAGACCTAGGAAAACTCACCCAGGAAAGAATCTCCTACTTTCTTACTTTCAAAATTCTGTTGTTTAGCTCCTAGTGAGGTAAGATATGCAGGGGACTTTGGCATTCTTAAATGGTAGCAACTAAAGACTTAGGCAAAAATGTTAGTATTTTTAAAACTTTCCTCATCCATTCATACTATTGTAGTTTCTCCCGAGTCCTGCCATTTATTGGACCCACTGCCATCTACATCATTCTGATACTTACTCTTTACTGAATATGGCCAAAGCAATATGGCTTCATTTCTAGAGCACTGGACATCTCTAAGAGACAAACAGTCTAAGAAAAACTTTGTTGTTTGGGACAAAGCAAGTCTTGAGATTACACTAAGACATGATACCAGGGTTAGTCTGAGACTGTAGCAGTGGGTGACTCTCAACTCTGGATGGCTGACGCAGATCTCTCCTTATTCTCTTTCTTAGGCACTGGAGATTACACTTAGTCTCATCTGGCAATTTTGAGGATGAAAGTCAAGTGCTTCAGTGATGGGAAAAGAAAGGAAGTAGGGAATGAGCTTTAATAAGGAGGGCAGGTAGAAGTTAGCCACTCAGCCAGCAATCTTCTCATCTAAACCCATTTCTGTGTGATTTCCTGTCCTCTGAAACAGCTGCCTTGGAGTCCTATAGAAATGGGGTAGGGTGAGTGGGATATATTGCTAGCTTCTTGAGAGTAGGAAAGGCGAACTCAGAAGCAACATTTTCAAAAAATGTAATATTTTAATAACCTTTTGAGAAACTCATATAATATATTTATCATATTTATTCCTTACCACACTCCTCCTCCTAACTGCTCCCAGATCTACCTTTAATCTTTCACATATTTGTCTTTAATTTTATATATGTATTATATTATTTTATGTATATTATATGCATATAAATACAACCAACTGACTTTATTTATTGTTACATGTTATCAGGATGAATGGTTAGCATGGAATAACCAATTAGAAGACTCATCCCTGGGGAAGATGATCTCACTCTCTGAGAAGTTATTAATTGCCCATTCCTTTCCATCTGGAGTGAACCTCTATGAAATTTCCTCCATCCAAATTGGCATGTCAACTGGTGTTATCATTTTGAAGGCCTTGTTTAGGCAACTATGATGTTGGGATTTCATGGGGGCAGCTGCCCTGGCCTATAGAGAAGACGTAATATTGCAGTAGCTGTTCAGGTCCTTTGTATGTTACAGTTTTTCTGTTCTCTCTTCCAAGATGTTCCCTGAGCCTTAGCTATTATATATGTATCACATGGGGCTGAGCACTTCATGGTCAGTTGTTTGTGGACAGCTGTAGACAAGTAATTTTCTTAACTCATTTGTTAAACAGCTAAAGTGTGTCGAACACTTTTCCTTTGTTTTATTTATTGTGTTTGTGTTCACATTCGTGTGTGGAAGCAAGAGACTGATGTCATTGATGCCAATGCCTTCTTCAACCATTCATTACCTAAGTTTTTGAGGCAGAATATCTTATTTAACCTGAAACTCACCTCTTCTGCTAGACTAGTTGGCCAGAAAGCCTCAAGAATCTCTGTCTCCCTAAGATTGTGCTACTGTACTGATCTAGTTTTCTCTGATGGGAGATGGAGATCCAAACCTAGGCCCTCATACTTACAAACTAAACATTTACTGACTGAGCCACAGCCATGGCTACAAATACTCCTAAAATAGATTGATGTTAGTGTTATCACCCGTGCTTTAGAGGGGGTGAAGCTGAGTTCTAGGAGACCAGATGGCTGTTGACAGCTAGATCATAGAAGAGATAGGTACCTCTTTCCCTGGATCCCAACTTCATGTGCTTCTGCTTATAGTAATGGCTTTTAAAACACTGCTGTGTGAACTCTACTCTGAAATACTTATATTTATTTGTTGATGCTAGCATTTATAACTTCATTTTTTACTTTTCAGAGTTGATTTAATGTATGTCTAGAGCTGAGGCTCTCGTCCTTATCATACAGCCAGGTCGTCACTAAGTCTGTAATGACCCAGGAGAGATGTTAGAGGAATGTTTGCTGATTAGTTCTGTGGGTGTCTGTAGAAATAGGGAAGTATATTATTAGATACCACCAAGTTAGTTATAGACTATTTTTGTAGAGGCTGAGATGGACTATTTGGGATTTCTGTCAAAGAATGACCAAGGAAGGCTTGCTGGTCATCTTTTTCTCAAAGATGTTTTCAAAACCTTCCATTACAGGTGGTGTTGTCCTCAACCCAGCCTATTACGGCATGCCTGGCCATACCAACACCATGATCCATGAGGTCGGACATGTCCTGGGACTCTACCATGTATTCAAAGGAGTCAGTGAAAGAGAATCCTGTGATGACCCCTGTAGAGAGACAGTGCCATCCATGGAGACAGGAGACCTGTGTGCCGACACTGCTCCTACACCCAAGAGTAAGCTGTGTCGGGACCCAGAGCCAGCTAATGACACCTGCGGTTTCACCCACTTCCCAGGGGCTCCATTCAATAACTACATGAGCTACACAGGTATCACCACAGACTGGGTGCTTTTGTTTCCTCTTAAGATCACTTAAGTGTCTTTGGGAATTGGTACAGTAGATGTAGTTTAAGGGAGCCAGGGAGACTCATGTCATAGAGCAGGAATATTTTTTGTATTGGATATTCTTTTATTTTCCATGTGTTTGAAGTAGTTGACAAAATGCTAAGATATTACAGGGTCTTGATTGCATTCTCTTCCATCAGAGCTTGAAATGAAACACATTTCTATCATGAATAGTTAAAATGGGACAAAGGAAAAAATCCTCTTGAGATCTCTTCAGGTTTTATAACATGATGATTCTCATTGAGGCATTTAACCTGAATATGACTAGTCTGACAGTGATAAGTGACAGGTCTCTTAGTAAAGATGTCTCTTCAGTACTTTTATAGAGAGTTGACAAACTGACTTGATTAAGTGCTAGAAATCTTTTATCTTATACAATGTAAAAAGTGAGATTCCCCTTTTCCAGCAGGACATTGATTCCTAGCTTACCTGTGCCCAAAATGATACTGTTTATTTTTTTTTTTAATAGTGCTTTGTTGGCCCCGTGGAAAACTGTATTGTGTGGCCTTGTTTTCTTTGGGGCCATCTGGATCATACATCTCACTGTTGTATCAGACCTTCCTTATGTTTGGCAAAAAGTAACAGGAGTTTTCTTTTAATGATGGGCATAATTATAGCTAAAAATGACAATTAATTTGATTTGATCACCTAGTCCAATAGTGATAGGTTAATTTTTAGTTTCCTGTTTAAATAAAAGGCAAACTACCAGACCCTGCTCATGACTTTGAAGGTAAGAAAAAAAAAAAAAAAACAATGATTTAACTGGTTCTGCCTGTGGCTTCTTAAGATGTTTTCCTCCAAATTTCATTGCAGTGAACAATGAATTAAATTCATAAGTATCAACAACTCTGTCTCCCTTAACCTGGAGTAGGTGTCCTTGGAGATGCAGAGTCTAGGAGCAGAGCCTCCTTCAGTACCACCTTTAAGTGTGGCAGAGACAATGTTGAGAAGCAGATGTGGTGGGTTTTGATCTACTCTAAATAGAAAAACCCTTGAAATGAAGATCATTCCTGTACAAACTGTGTAATGAATACAGTGGTTTTACTGTCTCCGAAAGAAAGATTGGGGCCATAATTCCAACTCCTAAAATTTCCCTGACATTTCAGCTTCATCTGAACTGAGCACCTCCAGTGAATATTCACCCTCCTTGGGTATATAGCAGATGAAGGTTAATTCCGAACACAGGTGTAGAAACCCTCTGCTGAAACACTGCCATCTTGTGGTATAATAAGTATGCAACCATACGTTTGGAACAGTGGTTCTCAACCTGTGGGGTGGCCGCATATCAGATATCATGCATATCAGATATTTACATTACGATTCATGACAATAGCAAAATTACAATTATAGAGTAGCAATAAAAATTTATGATTGAGGGAGGGGTCACAATAGCATGAGGAAATGTATTAAAGGGTTGCGTTGCGGCATTAGGAAAGTTGAGAACCATTGTCTTAGGACAAGCCTATGATTTCATGACCAGAGTCTTACCCTAGGACAAGGAGAGAATAATGAGATAGCTTCTGGAAGATGCAAGTTTAATGTCTCTGCTTTTCCTCGCCATGTCAGGATTTCTTTTTAGAGAGGAATGAATTTCTTTACTGAGTCTAATGCTTTCTGAGTCTAATAAGTGGGAGATGTAGGAGTCATGAGAATACAGCGAGATTCTTGCCCTGCCTTTAGACACTGGTCCAAATTCAGCCTTCACATCCCCTTTTTTGTCTCTACAGATGATGAGTGCACTGACAGCTTCACCCCTAACCAAGTGGCCCGGATGCATTGTTATTTGGACCTCGTATACCAGCAATGGAGTGAAAGCACAAAGCCCACCCCCATCCCCATCCCACCCATGGTTATTGGGCAAACCCAAAAGTCCCTCACTATCCACTGGCTGCCTCCTATTAGTGGAGTTGTGTATGACAGGTGAGAGGTGCTCCACTATCTTTGAAACATTTCAAAAGTGGGAAAGAATATAAAATGAGGAGAACCCCCATTGTGATGTAAGTGTGTACATGGCTGCCCAGGGCTCAGCTCCTTAGCAAGGCTAAAGGTGTCTCATGGGAGCCAGAGATTCAGCTTGTGTGCTTGTCCCTCACAAGGATGGCCTGGCAGAATTGACAAAGCATGACCCATCTGTCTTAGCCAGCTGTTCCTCTGCAGGGTAAGGCTTGCTTCTTGGACAGTGGTTACTGGGGAAAGGGAAGCAGACCATGTTCCTTTAGTCAGTTCTAGGGTAAAAAGTGAAAGTGTAGGAGTATACAAACTCAGCATTTCTAATACCGTCACTGCCTCCAGCTGAACCCTGTGCTTGGCCTGATGGCCACTATCTGGAATTGTTACTCTCTGTCCTTATTTGTCCCCTCTATTGGCAAATGTTTTTTTGTTTGTTTGTTTGTGTTTGCATTTTGTGTGTGTGTGTGTGTGTGTGTGTGTGTGTGTGTGTGTGTGTGTGTGTGTGTGTGTGTGTGTGGGCGACTGCCATGGTAGACAATTAATCCATACTCATTGAAGTCAGTCACAGCACCCAAAGGCAACTGCCATTCTTCCTTTGCTTACTTATAGACTGAATCTCAGGGAATTCTACATACAAAAGCAGGGAAAGACATACATACATACAGCAGACAGAGAGAGAGAGAGAGAGAGGGAGAGAGAGAGAGAGAGAGAGAGAGAGAGAGAGAGAGAGAGAGAGAGAGGCCTGATATGGCAATGGGGGCTATGGCTTAACTGAAAACTGAAAAGGGACCCCATGCAGACTTGGCTTTCTGGAAGCCTCCACCCAGAAGCTGAATAACAGGAACAGTTTTTTTTTTCTGTGTTGTTATGTGGGAGACACTGTGAGACAGCTGGCTTTACCTGTCTCTAGTAGTCCTCACAGTGGGCACCACTCCTCCCTGTGAGTGAGAAATGCACAGGACTTTCTTAAGACCCCACAAGGTAATAAGGGGGATTCAGAAACAAGGAGTACAGAATAGATTAAAAGAGATGGATGCTTTGAATGTTGAGCTTTCTTTCCCATTTAGCAGGTGGACATCTACTCTTTTATTTTTCTCAATATAATATTTTACTAATTCTTTAAGAATTTCATATGATGAAATTTGACCATATTCACCCCCAACTCCTCCCTCTGACTCCTCCCAGACCTACCTTCCCCTTTTCATAACCCCAAATTTGTGGCCTTTACTGTTTTTTTCAAATAACCCATTGGGTCCAATTTGTGCTGTCTGCATACTCATGGGTGTAGGGCCATAGGGCAGTGAGTCTTCTTTGTATAACACTTCTCTGTGGGTATCTGGGTCCAGCTAAGAGAAGAATTTCTCTGGAGCATATCCTCACACTCTTTGATTTAATAAAAGCCTGGGCTTGGGCACAGACAAGGAGAGTTGAGGACACAGTAAAGCCAGTGGATTATTTTTTGAAACGATACTCACAGTGTCTTGAAATCTTTGTCCCTTGACTCACACTTAGTCATGCCATCATTTAGCACTCACAGCACCACAAAATAGTTTGCATCGTTATCAGCACACAGGTTCCCATGAGCTCCTTTGGTGATTCAGCAAACATCTATGCAATGTGTCTAAAAATCATCTTCCTGCAAGTGTGACCTTGTGTAGCTCTGGCAGGACCGTCCTGTGTGGGTACATGCAAACCCAAGTTTTACATCAGTTTACATAACACGTGTAAACAATTTAATCTTTCAATTCTCTCTCTGGTACAAATGTTACGATAAAGCAGACATCAGAACTGGCTCGCTGAGAGTCTGTTGGCAGAAAAGATTGCAATTTGCTTCCTTTTCCCAGCTAGGTGGGCTAGTTTTGAGGCCTCCTAGCACGTGTGTTGGAGAGACTCACGTCACATGCTCAGCAATTTGTGTCATGCCTAGAGTTATGTTTACTCCACCCTTGTAGGTATTTGGAATCCTTATGTCAGAGAGGAGCCCAAGCTGCGCACTCTGCAGCAGTCCCGGAAGGGCAAGTGCATCAGGGAAATGTGGTTTGGAATTGTGTTCACATTAGAAAGAACACTAATGGAATCAAAGGGCAGATCTAAACTGCACCCGTTAGTTGCCAAACCCCTGAATACTAGGTGGTATTTGGGAATGTGCTCAAAGGAATTAAGGAGCTTGTGACTTTAGGCAACTGATTTAAAGCTTTCTGAACCCCAAATTTTCTTATTTGTAAGCATGGTGCCATCACAAGGGTTAGAAAGAAGTTGTGAAAAACACAGGGCCAGGTTGTGTAAGGTGCTTAATGACATTGTTATTGTCATTGTATAATAATATGGTTTTACTAGTGTATTTATAAGATGCTAATCTGCCATTCATGTGTTCTGTTGGTATGCTACCTTGATTTAACCTAGCATTTCAGATAAGTTGTTCACAACCAGGATTCTAGAAATACTCCAAGTATTAGAGAGAAAGAGATAATTCTCAAAGCAGTTGTTGGCCACTGTTACTCAGTAATAATCATTTTTACATATTGTAGTTACTCAAATTGTAATGCTTGTAGAAACCTTTCTATAGACTGAATCATCTCAAAGACATCTACAGGACAGACCTTTACAGAGGGACTGCTGGAGCCAGTCATGTGCTAATTCTTATGGACCCAATGAGAACTGAGTAGACCCAAATGTACTATCAGGCCCAGGAGTCAAAAGAGGATGGGTATAAATTTGCAGCATGACACAACAGTATCCTAAGTAAGGGATCAACTGTAGAGGTATGTACAGAGAAGCAGGGGTCAGAGTTGCAGAGAAGGAAGGCTAAGTACCCCTGCAAAGGCCACATCTGAATAAGTAAAGTAAGAAGAGTTTGCTAAGCAAGGATGCTTGAAAAGCCCATGAGATTGTTGTGAGAACACATGTTTTGTGGAGTGGTATAAAGAGTGTGAAGGATTTGAACCATGGTATGATGGAACTTGTGCAAGAAATATAAAGTTTATGTAGGAACTCACTACAGGATGTAAGGCTAGAGCTGATAAGGAAAATATGATTCATTGCTACAGGCAATGGTGAATCAAGGGCTGTTACCCTCCAACTCTATTTTATATGTGTAAGTAAGAGTAGGGGATTAAAGGAGTCAGAACCACATTGATAGTGGTTTCACTGTGAAAATCATTGTTTGAGTGGGCAAGATTGTGTGTCCTGTGCTTTTCTGACACTTATTTACTATAGAAGGGATTTTACGTTAGTTCAGGAACATATGTTTATTTCTTGTTTAATGATTCGAGAACGAGAGTTCTCTTGCTCCTCACCAACGTCTTCCTGACTCTGTTAAATTTTTCTTTCCTGATCTTGAGGTTTCTTATGTTTTGTGAACTTTGCAAAGATGAGAACTTAAGAAGAAGGGCATGAGTTACAATGATAAATGTGTCCACTTGTCCCCCTGGGCCTTATTCTCCAGTGACACCCTTCTTCCCCAGAGTCTTCCTGGTTTCCTTCCCTAGTTCAGCATAAGAACACTCCCTTCTTTATGATTTTTCTCCTCAGGACCCCTGGCAGTATGTGTGATGCCTGTACTGAAGATGGGACATTCCATCAGTATGTATACAAGGCTTCCTCTGGGCGAGTGTGTGACTCTTCAGGTTACTGGACTCCAGACGAGGCTGTGGGTAAAGTACCAGAGATTTTTGACTGATATTTTAGTGGCCACTGAGCATGGGTAATAGATGAAACAGTGTGTATGTTTGTGTATTGTTGCATGTGGGTGATGGAGGGTTTGCTGAAATAGTTCCAGGGTCTTGGAAACACTGCTGGTGCTTCTGCATGCTGTGTGTTCTGTATTGGTGTAATGTGAAAGATTTCACACAGAGTGACTGGGAAGTCAGCCCTTCTCAAGGGTAACTGCAGGGTAAATTAGGGCCAGAGATGTTGCATATGTCTACTTGTCCCTTATGAAGTTTTGGTGCATGATGGTGTAAACTAAGTGCTTATTCCTCTGTATCAGAGAGTAATAGAGAACACATTGCAGAGCATACTCATGTGCTGGCTGAGTAAGTCTGGGTGGGGGCAGGGTGGACTAGGTGTTCCACACGGACCGTTCTCATCCACAGTATTTTATGAGTCTATTAATCACTGGTACTGGTTGTGCTTTGAATGTGATCTAAGCTAGGCTCTAGAAGGGAGAAGATGTTTTTTGTTATTTCATTTCCTGTCCCTCCCCTAAATTCTCCAACAGTCACATACGCACTCACATATGTATATCAGGATCTAGAAGACAGATTTCAACAGCAGTCTTTTCAGTACAGAAAAAGCTGTGGATATGGCTTCTAGCCCTTCTGAAGAAAAGGCTTGACTTCTGCCTTCCCCAGCTTTTGTTTGTTTGCTTGGGTGGCTGATTGGGGTTTGTTGTTGCTGTTGTTTGCTGTTATTTTTATTTATTTTTCAAGACAGGGGTTCTTTGTGTAGCCCTGGGTGTCTTGGAAATAATTCTGCATACCAGGATGGCCTTGACCTCAGTGATTCACCTGCCTCTATATCCCAAGTTATGGGATTAAAAGAGTGTGTCATTATTCCTGTATCTTCACCATCACTTTTGATACTCACCTAATCATCATCTTCTGAATTAGCCCCAAATATGCGTGAGCGTACACTCTTTGTAGGTATTAAGATCCACAAGACTATTGAAAAAAGTGTGGTCTATTTGAATTACTTTTTAGTCCTGATTGTGACAAGAAAAACAGAAGAATATTGATGTATGAGTCTACAATGACCACCTAATGTCACCTTGGGCTCACAGTTAGTTATTCAAGTGACAGAGCCTTAAAAGGAAAGCTGGTTAGAGATGATTGACAGGAGTGGTCATGTATAAATCTTTTCAAAAGAAAGCACATGAGAGATAGTCCATAAAATGAATAGCTTTCTTTAAGAATTCTGAAGCCTCCTTCATCCACTGTCTGCTGATATGGGGTGTTCTTTCTCATTCTTTTAATGGTTGTTCTTGATGCATCCTTTCTCTCATCTCCACAGGGCCTCCTGATGTGGATCAGCCCTGTGAGCCTAGCTTGCAGGCTTGGAGTCCTGAGCTCCACCTGTACCACATGAATATGACTGTGCCCTGCCCAGCGGAAGGTTGTAGCTTGGAGCTGCTTTTCCAACACCCAGTCCAAGCTGACACCCTCACTCTCTGGGTCACTTACCTCTCCATGAACTCCTCCCAGGCACTTTTTGATATAGAGATCTTGCTAGAACTCAAGGAATCTGTACACCTTGGTCCCTTCAACACTTTTTGTGACACGCCACTCACCATCAAACTCCATGTGGATGGGAAGGTCTTGGGAGTGAAAGTCTACACCCTTGATGAACGGATGGAAATTGATGCTGCTCTCCTGACATCTCGGCCCCATAATTCCTTGTGTTCTGGATGCAGGCCTGTGAGTTATCAGATACTCCGAGAGCCTCCTTTTTCCAGTGGCTTGCCCATGGTGGTGACACACCCTCACAGGAAATTCACAGACATGTAAGTTGGGCAACAGAATCTTTTCTTTTAAAGATTTTAAAAACTTTATTTATTGTGTTTATGTTTACATGCCACAGTGCATGTATAGAAAGAGGACAACTCATGGGAGTAGGCTCTCCCCTCACCATGTAGATTTTAGGGACTGGACTCTTTGCAGTAAATGCCTTTACCTGCTATGTCATTGGCCCAAGATCTTACTTTTTAAACTATGAACTCAACTTCATACTATCAAGAGAAGAGTTACATTTGTCTTTTAAGTTTACACAGACCAAACAACAAAATAGAATCTGTATTTAGAGATGGACCTGCTACCAATACCAATACAAGTTTATTGGAATTTGGAATATAAACAGATGTTTCAGACAAACAGTCTAACCTCATAAAAATGTATGGCATTATTAAATAGTTAATAAAGAAACCCTAAGTGTGATGTGGTAGATACCCCAAGCATGTTAGATCCCCAGAACTGAAGCATGGCTCTGCAGCCAAGGAGAGGGGACTAAATGGAAAACCATGTCAGTGACCAGTCGCCCAAATAAAATCAGCTCTATAAAAAACAAAAACAAAAACCCCAAACAAAATCTAGCTCTCTGCTAACATGAAGGCTAACACAGCAGATCTATACAGCTGTGACACTTGCTCCAGGAGCCCCACTTCCTCTCCTGGACCCTGGCTATCTCTCTTCAGCCAGCTGGAGTCACAAGATGGCCTTGCTCACAAGCTAGCTAGCACCTGCATGTCAGAGACTTCACTGTGTCCTATCACAGCTGTAAATGCCCATCCCCCTGATTGTAGCCAGACCTGTTTATCACAGGGGTGAAAAGAGGGAATATGGTAGGTATGCCTTTTGCATATGTGAGGTCTTTTGGGTAGCAGAATCTTACAAACCCTGGGACTTTCAGGAACTCTGTTTCAATTTGTCTATCTCTGCTGCTATTTTTAAATATTCTTATATGCATTTAAAGAAAAATATTTCACAGAAAAGGGAAAGCAAGTGCTTTGACTGCTAACGCCATCATTATGCTGATGGAGAAGTTAGTGTATGGGGTCTTATAGTCAAGAGAGTGGAATTGATACTAAAGTTGATCAGAATAAGATTTTTTTTTGTCTTGCAGCAATTTTATTTTGGATACCTTCTTGTAGCTTTTCAATAATCTAGCATGGGTTCCATAATTTTCAAGTTGTAGACATTTCTTCCATAGCTACACTAAAGGTCACGTCGCTCGGATGTTAAACAGAGCTTCATGATTCATCCATATGTACGTTCACTTTTCCTTCCTTTTTTTTCTTCCCTCTCTGTTTCTTCTTTCTTTTGTTTCTAGTTTTTACTTATTTTTTAATGTCTTTCCTTCTGCATTTAGTGAGTTCTACTGTGCTCCTGGCACAGTGTGCTCAGTGTTGGAGACACAGTCTGAGGTAAGAGTTTAATGTCTGCCTTAGATACTGGTATAATCAAAGGCAAATTCCCCCACTTCAGAGTCTGCTTAGAGACTGCCCTTTCAGGGGGAATGCATAACAAGGTACAATAAAGTTTTCTCAGAGGGGGTCCTATTAGGTAATTTTTTGCCATCTTAGACATGATCAAATTACAACAGCAAACTTTATTTCATTATTCTATGCATGGGCTGAGTGATCTCTGGATTGCTTGATTGATTCCAGGATGACATCATATACATACTGGAGCCCTAGCTGAGACTGCTGATATGGCTAGGAATGTGAGGACCCTTTCCTCATGACTACTCAAGCCCTATTCTGGGCTGCTTCTTGTGGATGCATGACTATTTCTAGGATTGTTCCTCAATGCTGGGAAGACAAGTACTCCATCACTTGTAATTTTCAAATCACTGATGGAAATTACTCTTGATAATATTCCATTAAGTTACATGAAAAAATTCAGATTCAAATAATGAACTGCCTTTCTCCAAAAGGAGAGACAGCAGTCACACAAACCCTACAGGTGTGCATCCTGGCTGTGGTAGACATTTGGCAACCCACCACAGCTATAAAACTTAGCTATAATACCTCGAAATATCTAGTTTCAGCTCCAGTACATTCTTCTTCCCATAGTTGTTCTCATTCTTAGTTCAGAAGATTGAAAGAGGATAAAAAAAAATAAATGCTGGCCACTATTTTATTTTATCATTCCACCTTAAGAAGTCAGGGTTTAGGGATTTAGCTCAGTGGGGCCCAGTTCTAGCACTGAAGGTAGGGTGGCAGTGGCGGCTTTTGTTTTCATAAAATTGCCACACACTAACTAGTTTTCCCTAGACCTTACCTGAGGAGAAGTCTAAGTACTAAAGATGTGAAATCCTGCTATTTGCTAATTTTAGAGGACTTTCTTGAGGAACATCATCGGGTCTTGGAGTCCAGATTAAGCACCGTTAGCAGAGAAATTACAGACAACAGAGCATGCACTAGAGAAGAACTGGAATTAAGTTTCTCTAATTTCAGTTATGTTTTTCTTTGAAATTCTATTGTTATTAAGCAAAAATGTAAGAGATATTATTTTATATATTAGCATATCTGAATGCCTACTGCACAGAAAGAAAAAAATAAAATCACAAAATGGCTAAAAAAAAAATAAATGCAAGTGGAATGTAGATTATGAGGTGGATTAGAAAGAAAAATTAGCATGACTAAGCATCTGTAGGCAGGCAGTTGATAGGATGCTTGCTATATAATGATATCCCCATATAAATGTTTAAGGTCAATAATATCCTGTTTTATAGACAGAAAACTAAGGCTTTTTCTACACTCAGTTGCTGACCTAGTAGATAGATGGCAGTCCCAGGATTCAAACCCGATTTCCAAATGATTCTATCATCTTCCCTCAGTAGAACACTGCCTTTCATTGACTATGCTCATGGGAGGCCTGAGGTACTTGCTGCAATGTTTTCCCCCATAAGAAGAGTAAAAGAACAATCATATTTCTGTCCGATCCCTTTCCCAGCCACAGAGCTGTGTAAGACTTTTAAGAATGGTTGGACAGGAAGAAACCACCCAAAAGGGAAGCCAGCTGCCAGCACTGATTGGGATAACATTGGGTTTGCTTTAGAAACAGCATCTGGCACTCCCAGGAGAGGGTTCCTTTCCCAAAAAGGGAAAAATAACTTGGAAATTTAGTCTTTAATATTTAGGTGTCTTTCCTATTAAACTCCCTAAAAGCCAATAGAGATGATTTTAAAGGTTTTTCGTAAACCCCGTAACATTTCATGTTTTCTGGCTGCTACTTCAGATTGTGGGGTGGTGTCTCTGTGGTTGCTTTAAAGAGTCCGTTAAAGACAAGAGCATCTTGGCAGGAGATTCACACTGGACACTCACAGCAGTCCTAATAATTCCTTGAAAGTGTGTCTTCATAAGTACTTGACTTGGGTGATACTTTTCCAACCAGGATAAGCATGAGATGGGACAAAATTAAGATGAGGCAAAATTTATCTTTGAAACCAGCAGCTTCATTCATGAGCCCTTTTCCTATTAAATAAATGTTTTGCTTCAACACTTCCCACTTAATCAATACACCAGAGACCAGGGACTCTGATAAATTCCTTCCATCTCTCAGGCCAAATATAACAACTCTGTTTTTGGTATTTAAAGATAAAGATGAATGTAATGTGTCTCTAATTGGGAATTTTTTTACCTCTTCCATGTAGTGATGAGCTGTATTCTTGTCTTCTTACTTCTATGAAATACTTGTTCCAGTCTTTTCAAGGCAAGAATTCTCGTGCAAGAAAATTATGATCCACAAATCCTAGAAGGAAAGGAACTTGACTGAGCCCACACACTGAAATTACAAACTTCACTTAGTTTGATTATTTTAAAAATATAGATTACTGTTTTTTAAACGTTTGCTCTTTGTTACCTTGGTTAAAATCACTACATGCCGTCATCCTGGGTCCACACAGACTCTTACCTTAAGTGTTAACTCACCATACTCTTACTAATACATTTACTAGTGTAGAACATATGGAGCCAATAGAAACGAATAAGGGGATGCTCCTAGGATTAAACCATGTTCTTTTTTTTGTTTCAGAAAATTGGCATGTTTTACATTTTGTTTCCTATAATAGTTCCCTTAAAAGCATGTGAACTAACTACAAAGGACCCAGGGCATACCACTTTGCAGATGTGATTGTCACAAGCCCATTGGTTTTCACAGAGAGGTCATGCCCGGGCAATTGTATAAGTACCAAGTTCAAGCTGAAGCTGGAGGGGAATTTGGAGAAGCTTCACCTCCTCTGAGCCACATTCATGGAAGACCCTACTGTGGAGATGGGAAGGTGGCAAGGTAAGTCACTTGTGTGAAAGACAGTGTGAGCTGGGTGGTGTTCAACTTCTCAAAGAGGCTCAGCCCTCCACCTGAGCTTGACTTAACTTAAAAATTCATGGAAGCAAGGGACTGGGTAAGTCTCACACAGAACTCCCAAAATCTGGAACCTTGAGAGGTTGTTGGCACCTCTGCTTAGTTTAAAGGGGACCCACTTTTATTCAGCATTGGTCCCCTGAGTATTGAGACATTGGGGCCCCCTTAAGGCATCAGTGAGGAACTGCAGGGCAGTGAGGAAGGGAAGAATTAATGTAGATGATAGTTAAATATTGAAGGAGGGTATAATTTTGAACAACATCTGCTTGTTCAGTTATACGAAGAGGATGTTATTCGTGGGAAGGGGGTTACACACTTGGTCTACTTACTGTGCAATTTTCTGTAAACATCACCAAGGGAAAGATATAATAATTCCTTTGGTTCCTTAACATCCTGTGGTCCTTTTCCTATTGGCCTGTGTTATCAGACTAGGGAAGACACTCATCTAGGTTGCCTGGAACTTGTCCACATTTAGCACTGAATATATATATATATATATAGGAAACCTGGGGCAGTTGATCAATCCTTGTCTGACAAATCCTTCATACTCATCTAACCTACACTTTTTATCTTATTTTTTATTTAATTTATTATTTTACATGTCGATCCCAGTTCCCTCTCCCTCCCTCCCTTTTGCCCTCTCTGCCCCCTCACATGCACCCTGACCACCCTCCCCTCCCATCCCCCCACCCCAATTCCTTATGTAGAGCAATACCATCCAGGTAGGGGCATGTAGATCTGTCAGGTCATTTGAAGTAGGGACTAGGACTTCTCTCCTGTCTCTAGGTTAAGGCAGTATCCCTCCATGGGGGATGTGCTCTCAAGGTCCTTTTGTACATCAGGGATACATCCTAGTTCCACTGTCTGAGGTCCCTTAGACTGCTCAGTCCCTCTGGCTGAGACCCATATTCAGGGGGTGGGGGGGCTGAATCAGTCCCATGCTGGATTCCCAGCTATCAGTCTGGGGGCCCGTTAGCTCCTCCTTGTTCAGTTCCATCTAACCAACACTTATATAAAACTGTTGGACATGGGGAATCTGGGAGGCAAAGTATAATACATTGCCAAATTCTGCATCTTAGTAAGATGGCCCATATTTTAGTTTCTCCGAACAGGAAAATATATACTTAATTCTGTATTCTTTCATAGGATTCCATCTGACAAGCGATCACTGAACACTGTTTATCTTGACTGGTCTTCTGAGACCCTCAAGCTATGGTATAATCATATTCTGTCACACTAAACTATAAACATTGAATGTTCTTTCTCATATTAATACAACAGAAACCACTTACATATGTAAATTTCGCACATTTGTACTTACTCCCACATACATGCTCAGTGTGCTAGCTCTCATCTTGTGCCTTTCTCCAATTGAGGCTGCCATGAGGCCTTAAGATACAATTTGCCTGGGTATATGTAGTAGAGTGTAGGGCAGGGCCATCTTCCTAATTTTGACTCCTGTCCCTGGAAGCAGCTTAACTAGCAACAGAAGTTCTCTGCTACTGTGTCTCACAAAGTTCCATGTTAAAAGGTACTTCTTAAGTTTCTGTTTTCATTTGTTGGCTGTCTAATCAGTATTGTTGTCCAAGGGAAGGCATTTCTGAATCCCAGCTAAACTTCAGCTTGGGGCACCCTAATACACAAGGCAAAAATTTAACCCACTTGGTTCCAGATAGGAGACTATCAAGTTAAGCATTAGGGAGGACCCTGAAAGTTTGAGCAGCACTCATTCCAAAGTTGATTTTCCCAATACATGCTGTCCACCTACCATCTCATACGTGTGGCACTTGAGACTTCAAAATGTGGCAACTAAGATGTGTAATATTTATTTTTCATTTAACATAATTTAGTTTTCAAAGTGAAACTTAATTTAGTTGTTGGAAAACCTCTTAAATATAGCTTGAAAATTTGGGACAACTTGGATAGATGATTCAACTATGAATACAACATTGAAGTAAAGGTCAAGTATTTGAAGTGAGATTTAAGTGAAAATGAATTTTAAATACAGCAGACTTCAAGTGCTTGGTACGTAAAAAGAATGTTACATGTACCACCAATCATTTTCCATTGATTATAATTCAAATAGTAATGTTTTAAGTATCCTGTTTCTTTTTACTTTTAAACTGACTGCTAGAAATTTCAAAATTGTATGTATGACTCCCATTAGATTTCTATTGGGCTACATTGCACAAAAATGATATGCAATATGTTTATGTTAATTGCTTAAATTTTCTTCAAAATAAAATTGAAAAGTTGTTTCTTTCCAAGATTATGTTCTAGAACCCTGACAGGTAAACATTAGTGTAGATCAATAGTTCTCAACCTTCCTATGTTGCAACCCTTTAATACAATTCCTCATGTTGTGGTGACCTCAACAATGAAATTATTTTTGGTGCTATTTAGTAACTATAATTTTGCTAACTGTAATGAATTGTAATGTAAATATCTGTCTTTTCTGGTGGTCTTAAGTCCCCTGTGAAAGAGTGATTAGACCTGTCCTTCCCCGCACAAGGGGTTGCAGAACTGCTCATTGTAGTCCAATTCTCTCTCCATACACGAGTAAACTAGGAATGAATCTTTAGGATACTTCCTGATTATAACACAGCAGATTAGGTACTTAGGGCGGTCTCTGATGAATCATTATGTCTTTGTATGAAAAGAATGTGAAGGGATAAGAGAGATGTCTCAGTGGTTAAGAACACTAGATACTCTTCCAGAGTACCCGAGTTCAAGTCCCAGAACCCATAAGCTGAAGTTCAAAGATGACATTTTATTTTTTACTGTAATATATGGTGTCTGCCACTAGGTGGTAGTAGGAAGCAAGGACAGTGATTTGAACCCAGGTTGTGCCATTGAACAAGACAGCCACAGGGAGTGCTTCTTGAAATCTTCTAGTTATATATAAACAGGAGAGTCAGATCTGCAAAATTCTAACTTTTATAACTTCACCTGCACAAAGGAAAATAATTACACAAAAATGATTTTAAAATTAGATAAAATAAATAGAAAATAAAATGAGTAGATGGGCAGGCCTTCTCACCAATTAACTATTCCTGTTTTTTTAGCTTTGTTGTTTTGTGAGAGAGGGCTTTCTGTGTATCCAAGGCTAACTAGGAATGGGCTGTATGTCTCCAGAGTATTGTGTGCCTCTATGCTCAGGAAAATTAACTGTTTAAAATTGTCAATGTTTTTTAATTAAATGTATTAAATTCTTATATGTAAAAACATATATAAAAATGCATACAATCCCATGTGAGGCTTTTGATACATTGTATGATATTTAAACAGGTTAAACCTAACCATCTCTTCATATATCACTTTCTTCCAGTTAAAAACTTTTCAAATTCTCTTTTCCAGCTTCTTCAATTGCTACACATATTTGTCTTAGTCAGTTCATTAAGCAAAAACACCCCAGGACTTGCACCTATATAATTGCAACTCAGAACACGTCAACAATTCTTTTCACATCACTTCTTTTTCTCTGTCTTCATGTTAGACACCATTCTACTTTCGATGTATCTGAGATCTATTTCATACCCAATATGAGCAAGTTCACAGGATACTTCTTTTGTCCATACTTTTTTTTTACTCAACATAATGATCTCCAGATCCATCCATGGAAATTTTATTTTCCTTTGAGGTTGGATATTATTCTATGGGATATGTGTCACATATTTTTCTCCATCTATCAGTGAGTTGACACTTAAGTGGTTTCCATCTCTTAGCCATTTTGAATAATGCTGCAATGAACATGGTAGTACATAAGTCTCTTTGACATACTAATTCCATTTCTTTTAGATTTGCCCAGGAGAGGGATTTCAAGTTTACATATTAATCATCTGTTTGCATATGTGTATATGTGTGTGTATATGTTTATGTGTGTGTTGTTCTATTCAATTTCTTTCATCCATATTTAAGAATTGACATTGTGAATGGGATCATTTTCTTGATTTCTATTTCCTGCAATTGGTTATTCATATATTGCAATGATACTGTTATCATAAATTACTTGAACTACTAAATTAAGCAAAATTGAAAGCTACAAATTAGCTGTTTCCAAGACCCCATTTATCACAGGATTGGTGGATCAAAAGGTTCTCCCAGATGTTCCTGTGCCATCATAATTTGATTTTTAGGAATTTCTACAACCCCCTGGTCATGATAATCTACTATTTTGCTAATCTCACATATACTTTAAATATTTTAAAATATTTTCTGTAAAATATTAAGTATTTATTTTTGTACAGCTTTAAACTTTTAAAGCACAGAGAGAAGTTTAAATGAATTAATGGTAGCTGAATGAAAAAGTCATTTTATGTGTGTCTAAATGTCTATTTCTAGGAGTTTAGGAGAAATGTGTGATGATGGAGACCTGCTGAATGGCGATGGTTGTTCAAGAGCATGTCAACAGGAGGAAGGCTTCCACTGTGTGGGTGAGTCTAGGGGTTATGAATTACTTTTAGAGATATGTCAGCGTAGTGTTTCTTGAATTCTTAGTGTCCCGTAGTTTATTGATAATTAAAGCAATAACACCAAATTCTGCATATATACATGAAGAAGCTAAATGGAGGCACAAAAAGCTTCAATGATTTATTTTTTCTTATTTACCTAATAGTGCTAGTTAGAATTTGATCCAATGGAGTACAGATCTAGAATTTCGTGCTAAACTTGTACTGGTCCCTAGCATGTTGTTACCAGGGCATTCCCTTGAGTCCTCAGACAGATGCCAAAATGCCAGATAAACAAAACAATATTATAGATTCTACACACAAATTAGGGTCATGAAATATTCTAAACCAGAGGGGAAGCAAGATGTCTATTTTTAATAGGTGAGGTCACAGAGGCCAGCAGATGGTCCTGGTGTTTTCTGTCCTGGGGAATGAGTAGTGATCAGTTATAACCAGATGACTTCGTATCTAAACCCTTGACAATTGGTAGGCAGCACACAACACTCCCCCTAGTTATTATGAACACATCCACAAACATGTTCCTCAGAGGCAGACTACTTCCCTTCCCATATATTGTGGGATTGTGTAGAGTAAAACCCCCACATCAAAGTTGTTTTAAATATCAGTGTATTTAAATCACGTTGGGGTTCTTAACTCTTAAGGCGATGTAGCAAATTACAATGCATAAACTTGTTATAGGTGTCAGCAACTACATAAACTGTACAGCTGTTTCTGCTCTCCAGAGCCAAAGCTAAATCACAGATTCTTATTGTCATCTATCTGTCTGTCTAGATACCCATCCATCCAAATGAGAGTCCACTGTGTACTATGTATTAAGTAGTATCACATTTTATATTTAGTGCCTGTGGTGTACCAACATCTGATAGAGACATTTTCCTTCTAGGCATACAGACCAGGAGTGAATTGGAGGACAGCTTTGCTTTTAGAGAGGTCACTTCTATCCAGTCCTGACATATGGGCATGTAGCTTCTGCTGGCATAATTCCAGCAATGAAAACTGCTCTTGGAACAGACAGTTCTATTTAACACTGGCCTTATCTGTTAATTTTTTCTTTCTTCCACTTTTCAGTTTGTAAACCAAGTCTCAGACTATCTTAATGACTCATCTAGAGGCATACAAGGCCCCTGCCAGGCCAGCCCTGAAACTTAACTTTCCTTATATTCAATCAAGTGAGGTTTTCTTACTCCGAAGCTTCAGGGGATACATTTTTTCCTGTTTTATTTGACTACCATTCAGATATTTGAAATGCCTCTTCACTATTCTCCTTTCCAATCCAAACATCCCCTCATGTGATTAGGTTTCCAGACCTTTCCTATTTACCCCAATCTGGCACGCTTTATCTGGTCAATGCCCAGAAAGGAATACAATCCCCCAGATGTGGTCTGGCTGTGCAGAATGCACTGAACCAATCACCCCCTCTTTTGTGCACAAGTATTTGTTAATGTCACCTCTGTTTGTATCACTTCTTCTTGTTAGCCACATAGCGGTCACATACTGAAATCAAACACACATTCCCTGGACACTGTACCATCTCCAGTGTAGTCCTACTCATATTTAACTAAGAATAGCATTCATGTTGTTTCTATATTATTTGGTCCTTTGACTCGTGTTTTTCTCAACCTCTAACTCCAGTAAGACTATATCTCAATTACTTTAACTATACTTAAATACTGTATTTAAGGTTATGTTTACGTTATTGACTGGGTTAAATTGATGTGGTATATTCCACTATTAGACATCCTTTTTGATGAATACATTTATCGTATGCGAGGCATATGATTTTACTCCATTGCTTTTCAAAAAATTAGATTGGAAGGAACCTTTGGAAATGTGATTTTAAAGTGGTCTATTATTTTCTTATGGAATTGCAAAGAACAGCTTTTTTTTATTCTGTGGTTAAAAGAAAAAAAAAACAAGAAATAAGAAGGAACAGTTCCTGAGTTATGGATAGAAAATCCATTATCTATGTATATAATTGTCATAAATAATAGCAAAGGTAGGGAGAAACAGACAGCTTGCTCTGCTGGGAATGTTGTTTCAAATGTACATGTGTTGGATGAGAGGGTGAGAGGGCCATAAATTTGATAGACTACAGATGAATGCCTTAAATGGGCTTAGAACCATGTCCTGTAGAAGGTAGTTTACACTGGCATGCAGAAGTAGATTTACCACCGGAGGGTCTTACATATGAGGTAATTATTAAGGAAAATAATAACTGTATGTTGGTAAGCAGCTGACAAACTACCAGAATATCCCTGAGGAATTTCTGTGAAGAAAAAAAAATAAAAAATCATGCTATAACAATAATAAATCTTAGCAATGGTTTTACTGAGTCTGTGCTGAATAGTGTGGCTTTGTTTTGAATCTTAATTCTATTTCAGTGTCCTGTTACTTGAAGCAGAAATGAGAAATTGGGTTGCACTATTAACATTAATTGTCCTACATTTTGGTGGAACTTTATAGATGGTTTTATAAGTGCATCCTAGCTTTCCACACTGAAGAAAACCATCTACAAAGGAGCATTACTGACTGCCAATAGGAACTTCCCTGTGAGGAGGGATGGAACTAGCCCAGGATACTCAAGCTTATCTTCCACCTCCAATAGTTTCCCCCAAATATTCATATCTTGTTTGTCTGCTCCCTTTTAGTATGAGGTGGTCAAGAGTATAAGGCTAAGGGAGGCATGGGCCTATATTGTACAAGTCTCATTCAGATCAAGCCCATAGATTGTCAGGGTCACTTTTCAAGTCATGCAAACTCATTTAGATTTGTATTTCTCATTCATAAAACAAGCAATATTAATAAGAAGAAAACTACGAACTTCATGATTGGCCTAAGCCGAGAGAACTGATGCCTGGGAGAGCTGGAGGCTTTGCAACATAGTTTCTTACAGTCTCTGAGCAGTTATGTGTTCAGAGAAAAAAAAAATCTCAGTGGCAATAGGAATTTAAAAAACACATAATTTGGTGAAGAACTCCCTTAAATAATTGAACATTCAAAAAAAAATCCATGAAGATTCAAATATATCAATATTATGTTATTTATCTAAATTCTATTTCTGCTTTTTTTCTATCTTCCTCTTATTTTTAACATGTTCCATGTCTCATTCAACTTCACCTAAAATACCTTGGTTGGGCATGGTAGCACATGCCTGTGATTGTAACACTCAAGAGGCAAGCAGATCAGGAACTCAGTAGCAGCTTGGGCTACCCAAGACTCTATCTCTTTAAAATACAAACAATACCAGTAAGATAGAATCAATTTTCTTCCTAAAACCAGTTTGTAACACATTTCCCCCTTTATCCTTCTCTCTCAAGTCCAGTCTTTCCTATGGCTTTATTAGACTTGCTTCTTCCGTCATAAATAGTGATTCTTTTTCTCAAAATGTGTGGTGGTTGATGCTATGGTGGGACTATGTTCCCTGGTCACCACAGGATTGTCTTTAATGGGCTGGAGAAGAATTGCTTGGAATATTATCATGCTACATTTACCCTAATATATATGGAAAAATCCCTGAAATGTTATACATGTTTCTTGGCAGGGGAGCCAAGCCTTTGTTACAAGCATGAGGGAGATGGGATTTGTGAACCTTTTGAGAAGGAAACCAGCATCATAGACTGTGGCCTCCATACTCCTGAAGGACACATGAACCAGTGGACTACTCAAGCTTATTCCTACCATGAAGATAAGAAGAAGTGTCCTGTTTCTCTGGTTACAGGAGAACCTCATTCAATGGTAAGTATGTCAGATGAGTGGAGTCATGGCTGGCCAAGATCAGAACAACATATTAGCTCAACACCTTCTAGATTAATCATGAAGTCCTGTAACTCACATGCATACTACTTGACATCAACAACTTTTATCCAGGAACTCAAGGCATATTCAAGTGTCTCAAAGTTTAACATAGACTTGAAGCTGTTATAAACTACATTTGTGCTCTAAGTGTTGGACTATTTAGTGTAAAAGCAGCAAAAAGAAATCAGAAAGTTTGAATTAGACAGCTGGGTCCACTAGTATTACTGTTATTATATTACTAAGGACAAATCACTTAGCCATGTTTGACCTTCATTTGTCACTAACTTTTGCATCTAACAGGGCAGTGTAGAGTTAATTGAGATTTTATATATATAATAAAAGTATGCTTTGATTTAAATGAGTATTCAAGAAATGCTAGAGTTAGTAATTAGTAAATCAGATGAATCATTTCCCTGACCTTCTGCTACATAGTGGGAGATCTTAGGAAGACTCTAATGACATTGTTCAACTGAGGTTGAATCCTAAAGACAAGATGAAGGACAGTTAGCTATTTGGGTACCACTCCAGATGCTTTACTTTCCAAATAGATTTCCCCCCCATTGTAACAATGGGCAAAATGTCTACAGAAGTAATTCCCTTCAGGAATTGTAAACCAGGATGAAATGATCGAATTTTTCTATCCATGCACTTCTGAGTAGATAGAGGAAGCTACTCAAGGTGCCTGTCTCAGGTGTCCATCAAGGATGCAAGTCTCTAGATTCCAACTCTTCCATTCTTAGTTTGTAGTTTTCTTTTTCTTGCTACTAACATGACTGCCCCTGTAAACTTGAAGTAAATGGTGTGCATGTGTATGTGTGCGTGCATGCGTGCGTGCGTGTGTGTGTGTGTGTGTGTATGTGTGTGTGTGCGTGCACGCACGTTTGTGTGTGTTACTACTGGGGTTTGATCTCAGGACCCTGCAGAGTAAGCAAATTCTCTGTCACTGATTTATGCTCCCAGAACCTTGCAATCAGCTTTTCAGAGAGGAAGAAGAAAGCAGGTCAAAGGTGGGTTTGTGTATGCCAGACGAGTGTTTGCTCAAATGGGAAAATGGCAAATATTCTGGAAGCTCAACACTGTAGATTTTCATCTATATCTTATGTCTGCTTAATCACCCCTATTTGGGGGAACCCTGAGGAAAAGAACATTTACATAACTGGATAACTTTGAACAAAGTTGATGTTCATTACTGAAAAGGTGATGGACAGGAAGATACAATGAGGCAACTATCCTTTTTCTGCCACACTCTCTTTGCCAAGTCTTGGCATCTTTCTTCTTGGAGTTCTTGTGCCCAGTGACAAAAAGCCAGGAAAGTTGGTGATTCTGAGTTCATGACAGCTCTCTGAAGTGGCTTTTAGTCTAGTCTGAATGTCTTTTCTAAGTGAAGTAGGAGACATTTCCTAAAGTTCTGTTTCTTGGGGTTTCTACCCACCCAAACACTCCATTCCTGCTTGACTTAGTAGCCTCCCTCTCAGGCCAGTTGATTCTGATTGATAAGGACCTAACCATTACCGTGGAAAAACTTGCAAAGTGAATCCTTGTATCAGTCCTATGAAATGTGCCAAAATGATTCTTTGGGTACCCCATGCTGATGGTTGTCCCCATGTGTTTTCTACCCTAGGAAGATACATCTTGAGGGTTATAGCACTGAGAAATTTTTCTACCTGAATTGGGGTTTTTCTGAGTCCTAACTTCTGCATTTTGCACCTAAGAGTGTGGTCATTAGGTCTAAGAGAGAAAAGTTGGCTTTGTGCTAGAGACCTCCTGACTTTATCTCCTACACTCCACACTTAATTTGAGACTGAAATTGTTTTTTCAGATTTGTACTTCACATCATCCAGATTCATCCCCAAACAGTCTCTTTCCTGGATGGTTTCCCTGTGTTTTCAGTTTGAAGACAGCCCAGGAGGATGGCAGTGAGAAGTCTGAAGATAGTCTGCAGAAGGACAATGAGATTTGGCTTGAAGTAAGTGAGGCGAATGTCTATTTGTAAAGCTTGTAAATAGGGGTACACATGTGTGCATGTGTATGGGTAAAATTGGACATTTGATTGATTTAGTATAGTTTTTCTTCTGTTATCTCAAATTATTTACATTTTAAATTTATTTTCATCTTTCTTTGAAGTTTGGATTTTCCATATGAGTAATCACTCTAGGATTTCACCAAAACATGCAAAATTAGAAATAGATAGCTCAAATGACCTAATTACCATAGAAATCAAGGAATGGGGCATTGATTATCACTGTCACAAGGTTCTCTTACACTCCTTTTGTGTTACATCACAAACATATCTAGTTATTTTGCTTCTTTTGAACATTTTTTGACTGTTTTTATTACTTGAGATAGGGTCTCACTCAGCTCAGGCTGTCCTCAAACTCTGTGCCACTGAGGATGACCTTGAGCTCCTGATCCTACTACTCTACCTCCTCAGTACTAGGATGACAGATAGTGCTGGTAAGAGATACCAAGGTTTCACATGCATTATGTGAGGTAGAGATTCACAGTCTTTGCCCTGTGTATGTTCGGTAGATCTAGAAGCAATTTAATCAAACTTAGACCCACTATGCTGCATGCCACCTTTGTCAAAACCAGCAGCAGTATGCATGTGTTGGCTTGTGTATTGACTCCATATTTTATTTATTAATTCTGCATTTTGCTCTACTAGTTCATATAACTTGGAATATTAGCACACTTTTCAGAATTAAACTTTTAATCAATATTAAAATCCCATAGTTTAAGCCTTAAAGATTCTTCATTTTTTAGAATTCCTTAGCTATTCCGATTATTATCCTTTAAATTTTACATGAATTTTATACTCAGATGTTAGTTTTGTTCAATCTTACTAGGGTTAATCATTTTCCCTAACTTTTCACTTATCTTTTCATAAAGCAAACCAAAAGAAATGTACACTTTCATTTTTCATTATTTTCTCCATTTTTGTTGTTCATTTTCAGGGCTGTGAATATTCTAGACAGGTATTCAACCATTAAACTACAATTATGCTTTTTAACTTGCGTTTCTTTTTCTGATAACTTAAAATGATATTTTGATAATTGATTTTTGCCCTGCCTGTCACACATACATAGGGGCAGTACTCACTTCATATGGTGTTGTGAGCTCATAGAATGACTATACAAAGTGATCAAGAATCAGTTATTATTATATAATATAGTCATTATGTTATAATTATGCATTATATTATATTATTATGTTATAATAATATTATATAATAGCTATAGAATTATAATTGATTGTAGTTCTTTCATGACCCCTAAAACATTTTGCCACTTCAAATGCTCTTACATTTTAGTTGTGCATATGTGGGGAAGTAAAAATAATAGAACTTCCTTTTGACTTTTTAGTTCACTATTAATGTAAACATTGGCGATGTAGAGGATCAACATGTTATATTTCTTTTCAAAAGCCCTGAATATACCAAGGGAATTTGCCTTTGCTTGCCTTTTTCTTATGTGACTTATATGACAAAGCTAGCACTTTTTAATAACTTGGTGAACTTTTAAGTCTTTCTTATACAGATAACAATAGACCAGCTCCTGACAAGTATTCTTCACTCTTTTGGTGTCATTATCCTCCTCCCCCCACCCCCGCCACCGTGAGTTCCTTTAGCATGAACTTTTTTCTTTATATTGGTTCTTCTAGGAAGTCTTGTTCTTTATGTCAAATCTACATTCCCTACTTCTGGTGACAGCTTCACTTTCACTGAGGTCCTCTACCTGTATGTTTGGACTCTTGAATCACCACCATTCTTGGAGCTGGTTACTTCTTCCACGACACCATTGTCCATTGGTCAGATTTCAGTTCCAGCACTGTCATTTTTCCTTGCTGCATTTTAAACTTGTTTTCTGTCTTCTTTTGAATATGCATTGTTTTGGCAGATCTTCACATGTATTTATCATTGGGGAACAAGTTGAAATCGCATGTGTATTGTTGTCTGTGTAACCCAAATCAAAGCTTCATTCAGGCAGTGAGTAAAAAAGGATCATCAATACAAAACAGTTATAGTCACTAAGAGATTAACGTCATGACTTTAGCAAGGATGGGATTAGTTTACTGGTCAAAATTCAAGCCCATTACTTGTGTGGAAATTTTGTTGTTGTTGTTGTTGTTGCAAGATTGGCAGTGAAATATTTATTCAGTTGTTATTAGTATATTGTATCAACTTGATTTGAGTCATGTTTGTGAGTCATTAGCTAAACTAATTTTATGGCCATTACTTGTAGATATGTGAACTATGTGCATTGGAAATTGCCAGGATATATTTTCAAATTCCTACATCTTTCTTATAAATTATCTTAACTGAAAAGTGTGTCTTTTATCTCTACTAATGCTGATTTAATCCATGTATATTCCTATTTCTTATACTGTATTTTAAAACACACTTATCAAAATCACTTTAATTTGTACTGGATAACATCAGTCTCTTAACTATTTTATGTTGATATTTTCTGTTTTTTCTCTATAATAATGAATGAACTTTATCCTAACATGAGACATTGAACACCTTTTAGAGACATTGGCTGAGCTTGTCTTCTTTTCAAGATAACTTTATTGGGACAGGTACAAAGGTTTAGGAAATATTATTTTAAAAAAGCAATTTGAATAGCTAGAGTCTCTGTTATTATGTCTGTGAGCTCTCATCCATTCTTTTTTTTTTTCTAAGAAATCCCCATGCAAACTTGAACTGGGCCCTCAAATTGAAAGTCTCCAGCTGCCATATTCTCAGCAGTATATGCCTACCAAGGACCCCTCCAGGGTTTGAGCTTCTTTCTGGCCAGTCTTTGCCTCACTTACACTGATATTCTGCACTGCTTTTTATACTAAAAATATTTCTGAGATGCAGAATATAAAGTTCCTTTTAATGTGAATTTGTGACTTTTTTAAAGTTTATTTATTTATTTTCTTATTTTACATATAAATCCAAGTCCCCTCTCCGTCCCTCTCTCCCGCTAACCCTCCCTCCCATGCACCCTCCCATCCTCCCATCCCATTTCCCAGGCACACTCCACAAGGAGGGTGATGCCTTACAGGAGGGGTCATCAAAATCTGTCAAGTCATTTGGAGTAGGGACTAGGCCCTCCCTCTGACCTCTAGGCTAAGGGAGTATCCCTCCATGGGGAATGTGCTCCCAAAGTCCTTTTGTGCACCAGGGATACATCCTGGTTCCACTGTCAGAGGTCTCTTAAACTGCCCAGGCCTTCTAACTGAGACCCATGTTCAGGGAGTCTGAGTCAGTCCAATGCTGGGTTCCCAGCTATCAGTGTGGGGGCCCATTAGCTCCTTGTTCAGGTCAGCTGTTTCTGTAGCCTGGTCTTGTCCTCCCTCTCTGCATCTGGATTCCAGTTCTGCTCAGTGTTTAGCTGTGGGTATCTGCTTCTGTTTCCATCAGCTACTAGATGAGGGCTCTATGATGGTGGATACGTTAGTCATCAATCTAATTATCAAGGAAGGCCATCTAAGGTAGCCTTTTCACTGTTGCTCATATTGTTAGTTGGGGCAATCTTGAAGGTCTCTGGACATTTCTGTAGAGTCAATTTTCTTTTCAAATCTATAATGGCTCCATCTTTTATGGTATCTCTCTCTCTCTCTTATCTCATCTATTCCTTCCCTATTCCTCCCCTTCCTAGTCCCACGTGTTTTCCTCTCCTCCCCTTCTCTTTCTCCTAGTTCCATCTCCACTCCCTGCCCCTCCACTCCCAATATGCTCAGGAGATCTTGTTTCTTTCCCCTTCTGTGAGGAATCTTGTATGAATCTCTTAGGTTCCTCCTTGTAGCCTAGTTTCTGTGGAAGTGTGAATTATAAGCTGGTGATCCTTTGCTCTATGTCTAAAATCCATATATGAGTGAGTACATACATGTTCCTCTTTTTGTAACTGGGTTACCTCATTTGGGATGGTTTCTTCAAGTTCCATCCATATGCCTGCCAATTTCAAGATTCCATTGATTTTTTTTCCCACAGAGTAGTATTCCATTGTATAAATGTGCCACATTTTAATCCATTCTTCAGTTGAGAGGCATCTAGGTTGCTTCCAGGTTCTAGCTATTACAAATAATGCTGCTAAAAACATAGTTGAACAGATATCTTTGTTGCATGGATGTGGATCATTTGGGTATATGCCTAAGAGGGGGGATTGCTAGGTCCTGTGGTAGACTGATTCCCATTTTCCCTGAGGAACTGCCATACTGATCTCCAAAATGGTTGTACAAGTTTGCACTCCCACCAGCAGTGGAGGAGTGTTCCCCTTTCTCCACATCCTCTCCAGCATAAGTTGTCATTAGTGTTTCTAATTTTAGCCATTCTGGCAGGAGTAAGATGATATCTCAGAGTTGTTTTGATTTGCATTTTCCTGATAGCTAAGGATGTTAACCACTTTCTTAAGTGTCTTTCAGCCTTTTTGATTTCCTCTATTGAGAATTGTCTCTTCAGTTCTGCACCCCATTTTTAATAGGGTTATTTGGTGTTTTAGTGACTAGTTTCTTGAGTTCTTTGTATATTTTGGAGATCAGCCCTCTGTCAGATATAGGGGTGAAGATCTTTTCCTAGTCTGTGGGCTGCTGTTTGATCTTGTTAACTGTGAGTTTTGCCTTACAGTTTGGAGAGGTCCCATTTATTAATTGTCGATTTCAGTGTGCGTGCTACTGGTGTTATGTTCAGGAAGCAGTTTCCTGTACCAATTTGTTCAAGGGTTCCTCCCACTTTTTCTTCTAAGAGGTTCAGTGTGGCTGGATTGATGTTGAGGTCTTTGATCCATTTAGACTTGAGTTTTGTGCATGACAATAGACATGGGACAATCTCCAGTCTTCAAGACACCATCATCCAATTGTGCCAGCACCATTTGTTGAAGATGCTTCCTCCTTCCATTGTATGCTTTTAACTGTTTTGCCCAAAATCAGGTGTTTGTAAGTGTGTGGGTTAATATCGTGATTTTCGATTCAATTCCATTAGTC